GGGGTGCTCCAGTCAATGGAAGAGTAAGAGGTTTAGGTTGGATATCAGGAAAAATTTCTTCATGGAAAGGATGGTCAGGAATTGGAAAAGGTTTCCTAGGGCAGTGGTGGACTCACCATCCCTAGAAGTGTTAAAAAAACACATAGTGGCACTTGGGAACACAGTTTAGTGGTGGACCTGAGTTAACAGCTGAACTAAATAATCTTAAGATGTCTTTTCCAACCTTAATTCCATTACTCCAATTCCATGACTCTGTGTTGGACACCCAGAGCACCCTGGTGTATTTTTTGTGCAGAGTTCAAGACACCCTGTGCTCTGGATGTGTTCCCCCCATCACACTGGTGGGAGAAAGCTGTGCTGTGCACTCACCATGGCCAAAATCCTGGGGTTGAGGAGGGGATGACACTGTGCAGGGAGGACATTTGCTGTCTCTGCAGTCCTCTTTCTTTCACATTTTTTCTCTTTCTCCAGGCTAGACCACTGCAAGCTGTGGGTTCCTCCACACTGGGCACACTGAGAGGTGTTGCCAAGACTCAGGACTCTCCTTTTCCAGTAACAGTCTGTCACTCTGCTTGACGTGGTGGCCTTTCCTTTTCTATGACCATCCTCCACTCATCTCTCCTATAAAATGATCCTTGATTTTAATTACCAAGTCCCAAGCAGAGGGACCCAGGGGATTAGGACTGGAGCTGGGCTCAGGATCTGAACATTCATTCACATCTGACTTGGGGCAAGCATCTTCAACTCTCCCTAATTTTGTTCTCCTTTTGGAAAAGAAAACAGACTCTTCCCCTTGCCTGTTAAAACAGAGCCTTCCTCTTGCCTGTGTCAGTGCAATTTCCAGTAGTGCTAAAAATGACTATACTTGCAATGTCACAAATACTGTACAAAATGCCCTCTCAGACCGCATAGCACCCATTAAATGCCATTAATAGGACATTCAGAGTAACTTTGGTTGTAAGATTTGACTAATAAGGGCATTCCAAAGTGGCTTCTTCCAGAGAAAATCATGAATTTATAGCATGGGACTTCAAATCCCATTCCATTCCACCTCCTGCCACAGGCAGGGACACCTTACACTGTCCCAGGCTGCTCCAAGTCCCATCCAACCTGGCCTTGGACACTTCCAGGGATCCAGGGGCAGCCACAGCTGCTCTGAGCACCCTGTGCCAGGGCCTCACCATGCTCAAGAGAAAAAATCCTCTTTGCAACAGAAGTCCCTTCCCTGCAGGTATCTTCCTGCATGCAGAAGTGTCCTCTCCCCTGCAGAGCTGCCAGAGGGGCTGGGGCAGGGGGACACTACAGCCCTTGCTCCATGTGCAGTGCAGGTGAGGCACAGGGGCACGTGGGCCCTTCCCACCCACAGCTGGGATTCCTGTGTCTATCCCAACTTCATCTCACAGGTGACCAGTCCCTGTCCCTGTCCCCTCTGTCACAGTCTGACAGCCCTCAACAGTTCAACCCAGTGAGAACATGGAAAGACATCTTCAGGGCAAGCCATGCCTCCATTTTCCTTTAATCTGGTTTTACACATCCCCTCTTTGCCCCTCAGACTGGACTTGATCCCAGCTGTTAGCAGCTGAAACCACAGATGGCATCACAAACCCTTCCAGCAACTGGGACTTAAATGGACTTGCTGTGGGGAATTCCCAGGAGCTAATGGTGTTTCTGGAACACAAAGGAATACCCACGGAATTGAAGGATTAAGAGGAGTACTTCTAGATGTCACCCAGGATCACCAAATGGTGATAATCACAAGTCTGCACATCTGAGGGCTGATGTTGGCTTTGCTGCATTGGTTTGGACCAGGATCAAGCTTTCAACAAGTCTGATCAATGTTTTGGGGAGAAACTTGCCACTCACCTTTTATTTTACCATTTAGCCCATTCTCTCCCATCCCTTCTGAGGATTAACTGGAAAAATATTGATCAAGATACTGGTTTCAGCTTAGCAGTGGCTTTTCAAGGCAGGGCTGCTTCCCATCTAAGGACAGCACGGCTGCCTTATGGAACAAAGCAGGGATGGACAGAAAACTTGTCACAGGATGAATTTGCAATTCCATTACTTTAAACCGAGAAATACGTTCACTATTACTAAAGCTGCACACAAGGAGGTGGGTTCTGTATTCCTGTTGCCTTTATTTCCAAATAAAGAATCAGAATTTGTACTTCAGTGGTTTAAAACAACACCAAGCTTTTAAAGGGCAAAAATACCTGACCCATAAGTGCCCACAGGCCATGACACTCATTTCCCATGCCTCTGCAGCAGCTGCCAGAGCTCATGCAACAGGAAACCTCTGTGCTATCTGCAGAGTACAACACTGTAGAACACCACATGCCTTTTTTCCATATTCCTAATGGAAAATAAGGCAAAATGACAGGACAAATCCTCAGACACCTCCACTGCAGTGTTCTGGGGCTGGATCAGGCTTGAGAGGATATGTCTGGGGAAGGACCTGGTGTTTCAGGAATGCTTAGCAGCTGGGAAAGGCTGCTCCAGTGCCCTACAGGACCAATACACACCTCCTGCACAAACCCCTCTTGCAGCTGAAGGCCCAGGCTGGGAGGGCACAGGTTGATTTTTAACACATTCCATGGACACTTGGGTGTGCAAGCTGGACCCTGAGTAGGGGAAGTTCAGCTCAGGAACAGCACATGAGTGATATGCTAAGGCCTGAACAGCAGGCTTAAGCCTGAGCTGACTTAAAAGATGAATCTTGAGCAAGATGCTATTAATACCATCAAGGTTCTTAAGTTAAAAATATATTATTTAAACATTCATATTAGTTATTAATGCCAATCTGGCTGTTGTAGAGATGTTTGTATAACCTTGTATAGGATATATCAAGAAATCTGCCCTACAGATATCCCTTGAGACTTGTCAGTAGAGTATTTTAGGCAAAACCCTCCTGGCTGTGGCCTGGGCTCTGGCCAATCCCTGTCCCCAGCTGGTCGGGAAGTGGGCTATCAGAACCAGATGTTTTCTGCACAAAAAGGTAAACAAGTCACTTGGGTTTGTCAATTTTGGTCTAGAGAGCTGGACCTCTTTTTTGGGCAACCTGGAGAGCTCAGCTATGGGTGGACACAGCAGGTAGGATTTCTCCAATTGCTGGGAAGGGTTCTCCAGGTCCTTGCTGCAAACCAGGGCTCTCCAGCAAATGTGGACTCTGGCTGGTGGTGGAGTACTCAGGCAGCTGGTGATGTACCTTCCTCAATCACTATTCTCTCTCTCCTGTTCACATAGTAATGATTACATGCATTACCTTGCTTTTTTTTACTTCTTGCTGAAGTCAAGCAAGTAATAAGCTTGTTGTTTTATCAAATGTATCCTTTTACTTCTGTTTTGCCTCAATATTCATAGTAAAACAAGACCATTCTTCCTTTTGGTGTCTGGGTCCATTCTATTGCCCCTATCGACTGGCAAAACAATGAGGAGGAAAGGGAAGCAGGGAAGAGGCACAGGGAGGTGATTCATGGCTCAGAAATGCCCATAGGGCTTCTCTGAATCTGGCTCTTGCCTGAAAACACACTTGTCTTGAAGACAAAGAAATCTAATGGAACGTTTGAGAAAACATTCTCTCGTCACTGCAGCACACAAAGGCACAGTGCAGTTCAGCAGCTGCCAGCCAAAACCCAGCTTTTTGTTCTTAAGACACACTGACAGTCCTGTGCAACCACAAAGAGAGAGGGAGCATCCATCATATGATCCTATGGCCTTAAACTGCTGTCAGCAAAGGCTGAGTCAGAAGGAATGAGCCACAGAACAAGAGAGAAAGGAGTGCCAGGACTGGGATGTGGGATGTCCCCAGGAGGGTGAATCCAGCAGCAACTCCTGCTCCCAGAAGCACTGAGTGACCAGCTGGAAGAAACTTGCCAGAGGAAGCACACACTTTGTCCTTCCCCACTTTCCCTGTCTAGCTGTCACCAGCAGCTCTTCCTCGGCTGGGACAGTGCAGAGCTCGGGAATGCGAGGCAGATCCAAGTGGGATTCACAGACCTGTTTCCTACTGGCTTCCCATACAGGAAAACATGACAAAGAAACAGAGTGTGATACACAGAGCTGCAGTTCATAACCCACTCTGCCTTTCCAGTCTCTCTTTGCTCCAGCTGTTACACACCTACCCCATTTTCTTTCACTTGAAAAAGAGGAAAGAAATGGGGCTGCTGGCTGTGAGTGCTCAGCTGTGTCCCAGGATACTGGATCTGGACAGCCCTTATTTTAGAGATGCTGCTGTCAAGGTGAGTAGTTTAACCAGTGCCCAGAAGCTGAGCAGTTTTGTTTGTCAGACCCCTTTGATTCCTCTTGCCTAACTTCAGGTGTCCAGAGTTTTGGTGTTCAGTTCACGTCATCAGTTCATCCCTTCCCCACCCAGGAGGGATGTATGTAGTGAGTTTGTAGCTCTCTGGACAAGCCCATCTTGTGTAGATGACAAGCTTCCAGTGGATGATTAATTGTCTTAACTGAGCTGGCAGGAATTTCATCTTTGGGGATTTTTTTTTTATTTTTTTTTTAAACATTGCCATTCAAAGCTCACTCTGAAAAATATTCAAAGCAGAAGTACAGTCTTTCTGGGGGCTGAGAAAAGTTGATTAGCTTTCTTACATAGATCCCTGTCTTTCATGTAAAGGAAGTTCTGGCACATGAAGCCAATCAGAGAAATCTGAAATGCAGTTTATTTTCTCCTGTCTCTGAACCCAAAGAAGAAAAAACAATCATTCAGGTTCCATTTTTGATCCAGACTACTACTATCCTCCATAAAAGACCACAAACTTCATGCTGTCTTCTGTCAGTCAGTAGCAGAAAGACTGGAAGATACCTACAGCAGTGCTATTTCAGACTGATAGGAAAATCTGTTCTTTTCCAAGTTAATAAATAAAAGGCAAGCCCCTTTCTCCCAGAAATTTCTAAAAACAGCAATATCCTTCAATTTAAAAGCAGTTTTTACCCATGAACCCTAAAAAAAAAAAAAAAGTAATGAGGAGTCATGTAGCCCACAAAAATTAAAGGCATATGAATTTATGGGTATTTCTTCATTCAAACCCAAAAGCTGGCAGGTGTTCTAGCCAATAAACTCCAACAGAAGACAACCTGAAAAGAGGCAAAAGCAAAATCAAATGTTCATCAGCAAAGGACCTCAGTATAGTGAGACCGAGTATGTAAATGTGAATTTCTCAGGGACACCAAAACCACTGAGGACCAGTAAGGACTACAATGCAACTACTGCTATGCAAGGTCTGTGGTGGGAAAGGCAGAAGGAAACACAGTATAACCCTGAAGGGGTTGATTATGAAAATAAAACATGACAGCTTGGCCAAAATAAATGGTGGGTGAAAATCACCCCTCTGGGACATGGGATAGGATGGGATAGATCCCACAGGAACAAGAAACATCCCTGAGATGTGTAAGTCATTGCACAGGGCCCTGATAAAATCTCAGAGTAACAACAAAGCTGTGGTCTCCCAAATGTATTAGGCTGGAAGAGTTGCCAGGGAGGACTGGAAGGTGCCTCAGGAACCAGAACACCTAATTTGTACAGTGAGTCGGGGAAAGGAGTGGCTTGTTTACCCCAAAAAATGTCATCATTGCATAATTCCAGCAGGGCACACAAAAAGTGCCTAAACCAGCATCTGTTTGCAGGAACAAAGATGAATCATCCCTGAGTTGGCTCAGTCTTAAACAGAATGTTTTATGAAAGTTCTGTGATGCAACATCCCCAGGTTGAGTTCACCACCCTGAGTGTGGGTGCCTCATGTAGGCAGTGTGATCAAGGGAGTGCAGATCTCCCAGCAGCAGCAGCAGCTGCTCTCAATTGTGTGTTTGGTTCCATTAGAGCTGCTTCTTTTTTTCAAGGCAACAAAACCTGGAGGCTTTAGGGCAGGCGGTGTGAAGGTCCCCCCGAGAGCTGCATTTGCTGCTCCCGCTGTGGACCAACACCCACTCCACTGTCACACTGCTGGTGGCAGCAGATCCCCAAACTTCAGCTCCTCAAACTGCTCCGAGGCCCTAGCAATCAGCCCTGTGTGCATGTTCCTACCAAATCACTTGCAGAGCCAAGGAATTTCAGGAAGAAAGGATGGCCAGTAAGTGCCCCAATACTGCAAATACTACCATCAGTTTGGGTAAACATCAGAAAACAGAAAATCAGGTTTATGCCTCTGGAAAAAAACAAAACAAAACAACTAATTGCTGCACTAACCAAACAAAGCAGAGTTTTCTCAGAGGTTTCTGGTTTGTGTCCTTTCAGCTCCTTGCTGGAACTCTCCATTCAGCTCAGTATAGGTCTCTGACAGCCCCAAGATCTCTCCTCTATTATGCTGTCACCCCTCTCTGCCCCTTCACTGCTGCTGGGGAAGCAGCTGGATGTGCCAGCTGACTTGGAGAAGCACAGCCACACTGCCAGATCCCAAACTACTGCCTATGCTAAACCCACCCCAGCCTGGGTCTCCTGAAACTTCCCTTGATTTTCATAAAGCCTGTAGGAACCCCAAGGGTTTTAAAGGTCTTCTCCTCTGTCTCATTTGGCTTCAGAAGCTCCTGGAAGACAAAAGGCAGCACCACAGTGTTTGTGTGTTTACTGCAACTCCTTAATGGCAGATCTAACCCCCCAAATCAGTGGCCATCAGAGAGCAACTGATAGTCAACCCTCTGCCTGATGTATTTGATGCTCTGAGAGGGATGAATATGTCAATTAGTTTAGGAATTTCTCTCCATTGTTAGCCCTGAAGTCTCCTCCTGGAGAAATGCTGGAGCAAATTCATGCTCCAGAAAGAATTGCTGCATTTCTCATGAATTATTTGGCCTTTCTTCTTAGCTGGCTTTGCACACCAATTAAACACAGAACGTGGCATGATTCCACATCTGATTTCTGCAGCCCTTGGAGATTATCTGAATCTTCTCAGGGCTGGATCAGACAGTGCTGGGCAGGACATGGCACAGCTCAGACTGGCAAAATCAGCATCCTGGAGCAGTGCAGCTTTAACCACTAGTTAAGGCACACTACTGTGTGCTAGTCACTCAGCAAAGCAGCAGTCACAGGAAGGCTGTCAAGTACTTTGGATCAGAACTATCATTTGGAGAGAAGCAGCACACAAAAAAGAGCATTTCTGATCAGAAAACTCAAGAGACTGTTGTGAACAGCTGCAATGAAGATTCAGCATTTCCAGCTCCCTATTTACAGATGCATGCACAAATAAACTAACTTGAATGAATTCACCCTGATTTATCAGAGGATGTGCCAGGTGTTGGAGTCTGGGATACAGTGTGTGCCCTTGCTTCTGATACTTAGTTCAAGATCCAGAAAAACACTGAATTTCATATAACAGGAAATTCATGACCATGTTTTCATGGTGATACATGAAAATAACTGTTAAAGTTAGATACAAAAAGCTAAAAGGGTGTGTAGATTAGAAAGTTTTCTTAAATCACTGAGTGAAAAAGTTAGTTTAGAGAACAGGAGACAAGATGGAGGATTTAGGGTGTTGTCTCTTGTCCTTCTTTCTTCTTCATGTTTTTCTCCTAGAGGTTTTTGGGTAATAGTAAGTGATTGGATAGAAAACGCCACAGTGTAGCACATAGGTGAAGGGTCATTGGGTCATTATGAAAAATAATACACGTGTCTGTCCTGGGGTGACTTTATGATACTGGTATCCCCAATCGTCTGGTTTATGTTATATATTAAGTTCTGCACCTTTAAGACTGGCTTTGAGAGCAAGAGAGGGGGAAGAAGAAGCTTTTTCAATTTTCTTGGATCTGTGCAAGCCTGCTCTGGACTGAACACCCAGCCAAACCCCGGGAGCTCACGCCTGTGGCCCAGCGGGGCCTGGGCCTCGGCACTTTCCAGCGCCGGAGGGACTGATAAGAACCTGAGTGAGCCGAGCTGCACCACATGAAAAGGACTTTTCTTCCTAGACTTACCATCCCATCGAACAGCAAGAGGTTTTATTATTTAATATTACTCAATTTCTGTTAAATAAACACCTTTTTCCACTTCTCTCCACGGAATTTTTTTTTTTCCTTTTCCCGGACCAGTTGGTGGGGAGGGGCATTTCCCTGTGGAGATCCCCATTTGGAGTTTTCCTTCCTGATTTGCCCTAAACTAGGACAGTGTCTATTATTAATTGGGTGAAAATAGGTATAATGATAAAAGAACTGTGTAGTTCGAGGCCCATTTTGTACATCAGACACGAAGTACGCCACAAAGCCTTGTTTGTACCATCAGAAGAAAGAAATGTACCAGATTACAAAGATATAATAACCTTGTGCAGTTAGTCTAGAGAGACCTGCCAAGTTTTGTGATGACCTTCTAATAAACATGAGAAACAAGATTCTAACGAACTCAAGAGTTTTCTTCAAAACTAGAGAACTGATATAAGCAAGACTCCCAATCAGGGAAGATCCAAAAAGAATTCAGTCCAAAGGAGGCTGAGAAAACCAGAAAGAGAAAAAAAAAATACAGAAGAAATGCAACAGAATCAGAGAAACAGAAAAAGAATTTTTTAGAAAAAAGTTACACCGGGCTCAGTCAGTCCTGAGGCCATCAAGACCCAGAGCCAGCCAGAGCCACACTCACAGAACAGCTTTACCAGCACAACCCCTGGGTGTGCCAGAGAGCCTGAGAGCAGAGGAGCTGCCACATGACAGCTGAGCACTGAAAATCTCCTTACGGCCTCAGGACCAGGTCTGTTGTCCCATGGCAGTGGATGAGACCACACCTGAGCTGCAAAGGCAGCAGCTGAGCCCCACTGAGGGAGCGAGCACAGTAGGAAACAGTCTGGGGACCTTCTGAAGGTGGTTTTGTAGCATGAAGAGATTCATGTTCCAAGCAGCCATGGTCCAGAAAGTTTATGTGACTGACCACCAAACCCCACCAGTCTCTCCAGTCCTGGGACAGTACATGCTGGGTCACCTGGGCCTTTAGGGACCACATCCCAAAGAATTCAGCCTTTCTCCATTTCTGCAGGTGGGTGTAACTCTGCTCTACAGCTCTGAGGCTGCTTAAATCCAGAGTAGATGTTGACTTGGACATTATCCAGCTCTTTTCAATGGCAGCCTGAGTACACTCAGCAAATCCTAGTTTTAATTACATGAAAAATTGCTGTCTTCACATACCACATGAAATGTGTTTTCACTATTACTCAGTTTTTTAGGGGATTATGTCTTCCTTCTACTTGTCTCCATTCAGATGAAATGTTATAAAGGCTATTTTTGTATGAGATTGTGTGAACAGGCTCTGCACATACCTAGGGATGGGGATGGAGGAACAGTTGCTGCAGGAAAGTCCATGCTGGGAAGGTAGATGAGTTAAAGTTTCCCCAGAACTCCTAAACCCTGGAGATGTTGAAACCACACAGGCTGAGACCCTGAGTCTCATGGGAGTCTGTGAAATACCTGAAAAATAAAGAACTCTCTGAGGGGATCTCCAAACACTTCAGAAGCCACCGACGCTCCTCGTTCGCGCTGGGCCCGACCCGTCAGGCCTCGCCCCGCCTGAGCAGAGCCAAAATCCAGAGGCACCCTGGATCCACAGCGGGACGGACGGCCCGCGGGGAGCGCGATGCCCCTCGAGGACAGACCCGTCCCTGTCCTCCGACTGGGGAGGAGCTATCCCGTGTGGCCGTCCTGGGCAACGGCGACCCGAACGGGACAGCTCGATGGATGGGAGCGGGACGCTCCGGGCGCGCTCCTGCTAACTTTACCCCCCCGCGGCCGCCGTAGTTTCGAGTTGTGCCGGGCGAGGCGACGCGACGGCCGCTGGGATATGTAGTCTGCCTGGGCGGGCCGGTTCATTGGTGGCGCGTTGCCCGGCGCCGCCCGGGAACTACAGCCGGCGGAAGCGGCGGAGCGCGCGCCGGGATGGCGGCCCCCTTGGTGCTGGTGG